ACCCACAGAGCCTGTATGGCCTTTGGAATAAGTCTCCAGTGCTTTCAAGGCCACTTGTTTGTTTCCTCAGAGCAGTTCTTCTTCCGTTTCTTTCCCACCCAGCCAAGCATGTATCTTCAGGAACTCAGGGGGAAAAAATTATTCTGGCACATTAGTTATACGATTGACTTTTCTCTTGCCTTCTATTCCTGTTCAGACCGAACCATTCAGCAACTTTCTAACAAACTAAAAGGAGCTAGAAGTCATCTCTTGCCAGACAACGGTCTAGGTGCTTTCTGAGGACTATGGACTCTTTTGCTACATACTACAGGGAACTCCAGTTCACAGACCAGGGGTCTCATTCTTCCTAGCCAATGGTTATTCAGTACTTTAGTTCATAGCAGATGTCCACACTAGTCCTCATTCATTTCCATGGACTTAGCCTGCTGAAGCCGTCTGGGTTGACCATCATAGACGGACAGCAGAGCTTGGTAGGAAGGATCATGGGTAAGAACTGAAAACGATCAATTTATTCTTCAAGGGAGCTGGGACTATTAATTGGCAGCTTTTAATCTAAATTCTCATTTTAGCACGTTCAGATGTCTTAAATAAGAAGTGGAGGCTTGTTTCTGGCATTTTCCCTGAAGTCAACCCCTTTTTCCTCCACAGCGGTGGAGGACAGGAATGGAACAGAATGGTGTTAGTGACCAAAAGACAGAATTCTACCTGTAGAATACTTAAACTCTCCTTCAACATTAGCCCACTAAAGGTAATGGTCCTCATATCCGAAAGCACACTACAAAGGCACCTTCAACCCTGATCCTAGCCTCTCCCTTTGTGAATATGCTAATGGCCAATAATACTAACCAGTTGCCAGCAAGTCATTTCCAACTCATGGCCACCCTGTGTCCCAGAGTAGAACCATTCCATAGGGTTTTCTCAGCTGTCTCAAAACTCAAACTCACTGCCTCAGAGTTGATTCTCAGTCATAGCAACCCTAAAGCACAGGGTGGAATGGCCCCGGAGGGTTTCCAAGGCTGTAAACCTTTACAGGAGCTTAAAGCTTCATTGTTCTCCCTCAGAGTTGTTGGAGGGTTCAAACTACTAACCACATAAGGGTAACCCACTACACCATCTTTAAAAAAGCAGATTTCCAGGCCCTCTATGCACAGTGCTACTGGGTGGGTTCAAACTACTACCAGAATTTTGGTTAGTAGTCAAGTGCCAATCATTTGCACTACTCAAGGAATAATCCACCAGAACCATTGTCACTGACGCACAGTAACCCTGTAGGACAGAGTAGAATTGTGTGGCACTACTGGTTAGATGGTGAGTTGCTAACAAGATCGGCAGTTCAAACCCACCAGTAGCTCTGCAGGAGAAAGATAAGGCTTCCTGCTCCTGTAAGAAATTTAGTCTGAGACAAAGAGGGTGCATAAGTAAAAGTGGTGAAGAAAGCTGATGGTGCCCAGCTATCAAAAGATAGAGCGTCTGGGGTCTTAAAGGCTTGAAGATAAACAAGTGGCCATCTAGCTCAGAAGCAACAAAGCCCACATG